CTGTCTCAACAACAACAACAACAACAAAAGTGAAATGGGAGGAAGAGAGGAGTCTAACTTGACTCCAAAGTTTCTGGCCAAATGGGACAAATGGAATTGTCATCAACTGAGATGGGGGAGGCTGAAAGAGGAGCAGGTAGAGGACGGAGGAAGAATTCAAGTTCAGACATGTGCTGTCACACCACACCAGACATCTTCTTAGTGTTTTGCACTGGAGACTATGGCTTCCAGGCACTCCTACTACCTAATAAGTTGGAAGATCAGGGAAACCAATGCAGAGTGGAGGAAAACAAATAACACCAGCACCATGAATCGAGCCCATACTCAAAGCCCGGCACTGTGCTGAGAGCTTCCCAGTGATTATCTCCCGGATCCTTACAACAGACCTGCAGGTATTATCACTGTTCTGACTTCACAGATAGGCACTCAGCCTTGGGGAGAAGGCTTTGGCCCGAGGCCACCCAGACAGGGCCAGAGCCAGAGTCTGAACCCAGGTCTGCCTGAGTCAGTTTCCACATTTTTACCTCTGCTATTGATTAAAACCAGCAGAAGCCAGGGGCAGATTCATTAAAATGGTGGACCCAACTCAATCTTGAAAGACAGCGTTCATAAGAAAGGAGAGAGTCGATTCAGCAAATGCAGGATGACATCCCAACTTCTTGTCATATACTACAAGACCCTGGATGGCCTGCTCCCTGTTGTCCTCAGCAGTTTTCCCCCAAGTCACTTGTTCATTAATGATCTATTGGTTGATTTTGAGACACACCAAGCTTTTTTCCCAATTCAGGGCTTTTACCCATACAGTTTCTTCTTCCTGGAATGCTCTTAATCCTTTCTCTTTTTCCTGAAATCACATCTGCAGAGGATCAGGTCAAATGTCACTTCCTCAGGGAAGCCTTCCCTGATACCTCCTCCCAGCTAAAACTAGTCTCCTTATGCATACCCCGCATTCATTCTCTTTTTTTTATTTTTATTTATTTATTTATTTATTTTGAGACAGGATCTCACTCTGTCACTCAGGCTGGCGTGCAGTGTCACAATCATGGCTCACTGCAGCCTTGACCTCCTAGGCTCACGCAATCCTCCTGCCTCAGCCTCCCTAATAGTGGGGCCACAGGCATGAGCAACCAGACCTGGCTAATTAAGAAAAATTTTTTTCAGTAGAAACAGGTCTTAATATATTCCCCAGGCTTGCACTAGTTCTTGATAGCACTTAAGACAATTCTCATAATTATTTGCAATGATGTGTTCAGTGTCCTCCCTCCTACCAAACCTGTGCTGTCCAATAGAACTTTCTGCAATTATGGAAATGTCCTAGACCAGGGTCCCCAATCCCTGGGCCGAGGACCCATAATGGTGTCTGGTCTGTTAGGAACCGGGCTGCACGGTGAGCCTTGGATGAGCGAGCATTACCACCTGAGTTCCGCCTCCTGTCAATCAGCAGTGGCATTAGATTCTCACAGGAGCATAAACCCTATTGTGAACTGAACACGCAAGGGGTCTAGGTTGCAGGCTCCTTATGAGAATCTAATGCTTGAAGATCTGAGGTGGAACAGTTTCATCCTGAAACCCCAACCCCATCCCCCTATCTAACCACCCCTGTCCATGGAAAAATTATTTTCCAAGAAACCAGTCCCTGATGCCAAAATGTTGGGGACTGCTGGCCTACACATATGCTTTCCAATATAGTAGCCACTAGCCACATGTAGCTATTGAGCATCTGAAATGTGGTTAGTATGACTGAGGGACAAATTTTTTTAAATTTTACATTGTGTGTGTGTGTGTGTGTGTGTGTATACACATTTTTTTGAGACGGACTCTCGCTGTGTTGCCCAGGCTGCAGTGCGGTGGCACAATCTCTGCTCACTGCAACCTCTGCCTCCCAGATTCAAGTGATTCTCCTGCCTCAGCCTCTGAAATAGCTGGGATGTGCTACTATGCCTGACTAATTTTTTGTATTTTTAGTAGAGACAGCGTTTCACCATGTTGGTCAGGCTGGTCTCAAACTCCTGACCTCAAATGATCCACCCTCCTCGGCCTCCCAAAGTGCTGGGATTGTAAGCGTGAGCCACCGCACCTGGCCACATATTTTATGTTGTATATTATATATACATTTTATGTTGTATATTATACTATATAAATTATTTCATGTACAAACTGCATACTTTAAATTCATTTAAGTTTAAATTTAAATAGCCACATGTAGCTAGTGGCTAAATGTACTATTGGACATTGCAGCTCTAGATTGTGAGTTGCTTAAGCGCAAGAACCATTCTACCTTACTCAGCTGTAGAATCCTTTGTACCTAGGATGGTATCTAACTCAGTGAATGAATGAATGAATGAATCAATCAATCAATCAATCAATCAATCAATCAATGTCTGCTAACTGGCTTTCAAGAAATCATCCTAGAAAGAACAGACCTAGAAAAGTCTGATTTGCACAAGGTCACACAAAAAGGCAGAAATGGATGCAAACTGTTAGCCTCCCAAATCTCCTCTGTGTGGCGCTGTCCCAGAGTGGACAGCATGTGAAAAACAATGGTCTTTTGTGGTCTCAAATGAACCACCCCAGAGTTGTGTGAAGGTTCCTTCAAGTGCAAGGAAGGACTGTTTCTTAGACACCATGTAAACTACTTAGTGGCTTATAATCTGCTAACACTTGGCCTCCCATGGGATTGAGCCTATTCCAAAGTCCACTCTTGCCAACCCTCTACAAGGCACTCTGAATTTTTTTAGCCATATTGCTCTTGGGAAATCTACTGCCTGCAATCTGTGCATAATATACGAAGGGTGTGGTTTAAAAAACATCTAAATCGTGATTTGTAACCCACTCAGATTCATGTGGCCGTTCCTTTTAGCTTACTCTTTTTTTAGAAATTGAGGTCAACACATTTCAGGGCTAATTTTGACTTCATTCAAATGTCATTTGGGGTTTGCAGATTAAGATTTTGAGGGAGTCCAGTACAGTAAACCTACATATTTTGTTTATATAAATGATTTTTCAGATGCAATAATAATAACAGCTAATATGCATTGAGTGCTTTGTGTCTGCCCAGCTTTTAGCATACATTATCTCATTTGATCTTCACAATAACCTTATGAATTAAGTACTGTTATGATCCTCATTGTGTAGCTAAGGAAACTGAGTCTCAGAAAGGTTAAGTCACTTACTTAAAGTCACACAGCCAGGAAGTGGCAGAGTAAGGATTTGAATCCAAGTATGTCTGATTCAACAGATAATGTACTTAGCCAGTACACAATTTGGCCTAATAGATAATATATGTATTTATGCCTATTAAGCACCAGAAAGAATAATTAAGAAACTTAACTCTGGGAAATAGGACTGGGGTTTGAAAAGAAAGGAGACTTACTCTTTATTCCTGTGATTCTCTTTGAACTTTATTTACCTTTATTTATTGGTACATTGTATTACATTCCTATAAAAACCTAAATTTTTAAATTTAAATAAGTAAAAACTTCCTATTTTTGCTTTTTTTTAATTAAAGAAGGAATTGTCATGGTAATGTCAGGTCTATATACCAGTAGATTAAATATACATGACCCTTTTGCAAAGTTTATATAAACATGAATCTTCGAAAAGTTCACATGGTCTGACATGATTGAAAAATTTATCCCAGGAAAACCAAAGTTCACATTTATGATATTAAATTATTTTTTATTTGTCGGTAATGGTTTTGTTTTTGAACATGATATTTATTCATAATAGAAGTTGTATGTTTTCCTTGGGAAATTTGTAATCAGACCTTTACATTTTTATGTACTGTTATATCTACCTCTGAATATTATAACTAAACATGCTCTAGCATTTGTGAAATAATGCTGTATTACATAATCAAATATGCTGTTTGTGGATCAATTAGTAAAAGCTTTAAAGCAAATTTTAAATTAATTAAAAATTTTAGTGAAAATTAATTTTACACTGATTGAAAAGTAAACATTACAATCCCCTTCAGTACTCAGAGCCTCAGAGAACTATATCAGTCACACTAAAAGTCACTTGGGAGAATTCCTCAGTAACTTATTAAAAAAAAATAATCCACCATTTTTAAAGTCAAGAAAATACACACATGCTAACTATAATTTACCCTTTCTGACAATCCCAAAGGGAATCTACTCTTACCATTCAAACGGCTAGTGCTTCTAAAAATTAAAACAACTCCCACCCCAGCAATGTTCTTTTTAATGCCCCTCTCATACTCTTGGAATTTACTTAACAAATCACTATCTGCTTGAGGTAGGAAAAATCTGTAAGCCCCTCTACAAGGCCCGTGTCCTTTCAGTTGCTTGGTATTTCCCCCACATTCTCAGAGCAAATTTGGTTTTTCTTAAAAATCCCCATCCTCAAAGGAGTATATTCCTGATGTTCCAACGGTGAGTCTCACTCTAGCTAGCTGCTACAAAAACCTTTCATTCAGAAGAACGCAAGAGGTTTCACCGACCGTGCACAGCCCTCTCATTCACACACTTCATAAACAACAGGACTTTGCCCAACCCTCTCCTCTAGGAAGGCATCCCAGATTTTTATCAACCAGTTTGCAACATCAGTATCATTCCCTTCCAAAAGACCTTGCAGAAAAATTATGGATTTCACAGCATAGGATTAGGGCTGGAAAGGACCGATGTCATTGCATAGACTCACCAATTCTGTCCACATTTCAAAACAGCAGCTAATGCTTTCTTAAAGCTCACATCTCAAAATCCCTTTAGGATTGAGAGCAATTAAAAGGGAAATCATAACCCCCGTGGTTCCCCATAAGGTCCTGACAGATCTGATAAATAGAACTGAGTCAGAGATACAGAGGCTGGGCTGCTGGGGAAGGAAAATGGCTTGTCTCCTCCAGGCCCTAATTCCTTCCTCCGAAACAGTTCCCTTTAAATTCAAGAAACCATGCAGAGATGCACCCCCCAACCCCCTTGCAGGTTTTCGTTTTTTAAAAGAAAGCCTGTCTGCCTCTTGCTCGCCCCCATGATACTCACGGCAGCTGCCTTAGCTGGAATAAGTCCTCCTCCATGTCCGCGCTGCGCTAGGACGAGCCCTTCTCATGGCCCTTACATGGTAGTGGTGGATGACGAGCCCCCTGGTTTTCAGCACCGGGATGCTGGACAGCACCCGCGCCGCTTCCTCCCTCGAGCAGCAGCTGTTCCGGGAGGGAGCCGCTGGGGACCAGCCCACGAGACAAAGCCGCCGCCGCCAGGAGACCGCGGCGAGAGTGGGCGGAGAAGAGGAGGCGGAGGGCAGAGCGAGCTGCGCGGGGAGAGGGGGCAGGGAGAGCCCTTCTGCTCGTAGGAGTTCACAGGCTTTCTGGCTGATGGTGCATTACTGGCATGCCTATAGGGCACACCAGTCTGTGAAATGGTTGTCCGGGTACCAATGAGCACCCTTTGGTTGATCATGCCTGTCTAAATGTTTATTTGCATGGATTCATTAATGTTATCAGTATAATACTTTTGAAACCCAGGCTGCTATAACAAATACAGACATGCATTTAAGTACTGTTTACTAAGCACCTATGTGCCAGGCACTGTAATAGGTACTGGGGGTATGACAGAACAAATTCGACCTGTCATTGTCATCGTGGAGCTAAGGGTCTAGTGAAATGAATCAAGAAAAGAAAAATGTAAGTCAGTTATGAGAAGACCAAAGATCACTCATTCTTTCAACAAGCGTTGTTGGGTGAATTCTACAGCCCTGACCCTGAAGAATAAAAACATGAATAAAATAAAGTCTCTGCCTTCAAGATCCTAGCCAGCTTAACGGTTCCCCTAGCTCACCTCTCACTAGAATTCCTGACCCCTTTAGAACTTAAGCTCCATGAGGTTTCACTGATGTGTCCCAAGTACTAGAACAGGGCTGGCACGCAGAAGGTACTCCGTAAATATTTGTTGAATAAATGGTTCTCAATTCAGGCTGCATGTAAGAATTGCCTGGCTCCATTTCAAACCAATTGAACTCAACTCTCTGGAGGTGGAGGCCAAGCCTGGGTATTTTTTTATTTTTTCAATATTTGTTTATTTATTTACTTTTGAGACAAGTTCTTGCTCTGTTGTCCAGGCTGGAGTTGTAGTGGCATGATCATGGCTCATTACGGCACCGACCACCTGGGCTAAAGCAATCCTCGCACCTGAACCTTCCTAGTAGCTAGGATCACAGGCTTACGCCAGCATACCCAGCTAATTTATTTATTGTAGAGATGGGGTCTTGCTTTTTTGCCCAGGGGTCTAGAACTCTTGGACTCAAGCGATCCTTCCATCTTGGCCTCCCAAAATGCTAGGATTATAGATGTGAGTCATTGTGCCCCGCCTCAGGGTATTTTTTAAAAGCTCCCCAGCACCATGAAGTGAAAACCCCTGATCAAGTGTGAACAAATGAAAAGAAAAGCAGAAAAATTATACAACAGAAAACTACTAAGATGATCCATAATGGCAGCTGGCAAGAGCTATGAGCATGACGATTGAATGGACACTTACAAGGAACTAAAGGAAGAAGGAAACTTTTTTTTTCTTTTTTTCTTTAATTTTTAACAAAGGGTGGGGGAAGTTGGAAGAGGGTACAAGGAAACCAATCTGAGAACTGAAAACAATCTCACATCAAATCCATAAAAGGACTTGAAAATCCAAAATTGAATTGAATGTGTGCCGGGCACCCGGATATGTACTTCACCATGGTCCCCTTGATCTTTGCAATCCTATGAGCAGGTGTGATTTTTATCCTTATTTTGTAAGATGAGGAAACAAGGCTCAGAGAAGGGTAGACTTGCTTGCACGAGGTCACACAGACAGGAAAGAGTTGATCTAGACTTAAAATCCAGGCAGTCTGTCTCCACAACCTGCACCCTTAAGTGCTAGGCTTTCTCTGAGTGTCTCAAAAGAAACCATCCATTGCGGGTATAGTAGGAGAAATTGGAATTATTGAAATATTGGATAACTTTAAACAAATCGAATGTTGGAAAAACCAATTATACAGTGGTACTCAAGTTCCAATGTATTATTTATCTAGTAAATATTAATGGAGAAACAACTATGTGTCTGTCACAATGGTAGTTTGAACTTATTCATGGCTCCTTCTCATCTCATACTGGAGTCAATCACAATTTATCCTACCCACACTTATTTCTAAAGGAATCTCTCCCCCATCCTTGCTGTGCACTACATTTGGTATCACATGATTCCTGGCCACAGCTGATTGGCTAGGAGGGTGGACACTTATCTAAAGACATCCAATCCAAACACTTGTCAGTATCCCCATTGTTGCACAGCTGGGAGAGGGAGCTGAACAATCTGGTACCTTTTCAATGATGGATTCAGATGTCTCTGAAGGTTTTTGCTTTAACTACCCCTCCTTTTCCTTCAATCCTAGTGTCAGGTGGGGCTCTCTAGGGCTCTATGAATATTCATTACGCTCATTCTAAATAGCTCCCTTAGGGGTCGGGCGCCCTGGCTCACGCTAGTAATCGCAACACTCTGGGAGGCCGAGGAGGACGGATCACTTGAGGTCAGGAGTTCCAGACCAGCCTGGCCAACATGGCAAAACCTCGTCTCCACTAAAAATAAAAAACAGCCAGGTGTGGTGGCACAGACCTGTGGTCCCAGCTACTCTAGAGGCTGAGGCAGGAAAATTGCTTGAAGCCAGGAAGCAGAGGTTGCAATGAGCTGAGATCGCACCACTGCACTCCAGCCTGGGTGACAGAGCAAGACCCTGTCTCAAAATTAAATAAATTAATAAATAGCCCCCTTTTATCATCCTATTTCAGCTTCTACTCATGTGCCTTAATCAGGAATTTTGTTTGTTTGTTTGTTTGTATGTTTTTTAGACAGAGTCTCACTCTGTCACCCAGGCTGGAGCCGCAATCTCGGTTCACTGCTACTTCCGCCTCCTGGATTCAAGCAATTCTCTGCCTCGGCCTCCCAAGTAGCTGGGATTACAGGTGCCCACCGTCACGCTCGGCTAATTTTTTTGTATTTTTAGTAAAGGTGGGGTTTCACTCTCTTGGCCTGGCTAGTCTTGAACTCCTGACCTCGTGATCCACCCACCTCGGCCTCCCAAAGTGCTGAGATTACAGGCGTGATCACCACCGCACCTGGCCAATCAGTATTTTTTGATGTTCAACAGAGACCCAGTCAAGTTCCCTTGAGGGAAAAAGGGAGTTTGCAGCCTGGAACTGGAGAGTGGTTAGAACAGGCTCAGTCCTTGGGACTCTCTTCCCAGCTCCACCTCTCCCTGGGTGGGTAACCTTGAGCAGATTGTCTAACTTTCTGTGCTTGCATTTCCTCATCAGAAATACGGGATCAATAACCGTAACTACTTCATAGGGCGGTGGTCAGAATCAAAGATAAAATGCAGGTGAAGGACTACACACTTGGATGGCACATAATAAGTGTTAGTTGTTGCAATGGTTAAATTTATTTTAATTAATTTTTTTTTTTTTTTTTTTTTTTTTTTTTTGAGACAAGGTCTGGCTCTATCATCCAGGCTGGAGTGCGGTGGTGCGATCTCAGCTCATTGCCACCTCCACCTTTCAGGCTCAAGCCATCCTCCCACCTCAGCCCCCCAAATGGTGCAGTAAAATCTGCCCTCGATGTGTGAATGAGCACCGTCAAATCAGCTAGAGGCCCAGACAGAACAGAAACAGAGGAAAGGTGAGTTGATCTCTCGCTCCAAGAGTGGTTTCTTCTCCTGCCCTTGGGCATCACAACTGCAGGCTCTCTAGTCTTTAGAAACCAGGACTTACACATGTGGCTCCCTTGGGTTTTTGGGCCCTTAAATTTGGCCTGAGTCATACTACCAGCATCCCAGGGTCTCCAGCTTGCAAATGGTCTATTGTGGAAATTCTCAGCCTCCCTAATTATGTCAGCCAATTCTGCTGATAAATGCCCTCCCATGTATTATATGAGAGATATCTTATCTTTATATCTATGTAATATATTATATTACATGAAGATATCTTTTATCTCATTGGTTTTGTCTATCTGGAGAGCTCTGACTAATACAGTGCTTATCATTATGCTGCTCTCTTCAACCCCCGCCCCCAAATCAATATCTTTTCTACTACCTTAAAATGTTAGCTGGCCTATGAAGGATAAGAAAAAAAGATGGTATTGGGAAAACTAAATCCTCATCAAGTTTATGGAAATCAACAGAACATGTCCAAAATTGAGAAAACAAAAACTAGCCAAATGAGATCTCATATAGAAATTTGCCTGCAGGTACTAAAAGAAGCAGCTAAAAGACTGAGGGTGGGTGGAAGTGGAACAGTGACTTTTTTTTTTTTTTTTTTTTTTTTTTGACGGGGTCTTGCTCTGTCGCCCAGGCTGGAGTGCAGTGGTGAGATCATAGCTCACGGCAGCCTGGACAGTAATCCTCCTGACTCAGCCGAGCTCAAGCGATTCTCCCACCTCAGCCTCCCAAGTAGCTAGGTCTACAAGTGTGCACCATCACACCTGCCTAATTTTTGTATTTTTGTAGAGACGGAGTTTTGCTTCATTGCCCAGGCTGATCTCAAACTCTTGGGCTCAAGTGATCCTCCCACCTTGGCCAAAGGTGCTGGCATTACAGGTGTGAGCCACTGACCCTTGCCTGAAGGTTTTTTTTTAATTGTAAACTTTTGGTACTATTTTATTTTTAAAACCATGTGCATCTTATTACCATGATTCTTTTAAATAATTTTTTTAATTAAAATAAATTTTTTGAAACAGGATCTGGCTCTGTTGCCCAGGCTGGTGTGCAATGGTGCAATCTCAGCTAACTGCTACCTCCACTTCCCAGGCTCAAACCATTCTCCCACCTCAGTCTCCTGAGTAGCTAGGACTGCAGGCACATGCCACCACGCCTGGCTAGTTTTTGTGTTTTTGGTAGAGACAGGGCTTCACCATGTTGCCCAGGCTGGTCTTGAACTCCTGGGCTCAAGTGATCCACCCGCGTTGGCCTCCCAAAGTGCTGGGATACAGTTGTGAGCCACTGGACCTGGCCTAAAAGTAATTTTTATTGTGGTAAGTACATATGTCTTAGCCAGCTCAGTTGCCATAACAAAATATCATAGTCTTGGTGGCTTACACAACATAATTTTTTTTTTTTTTTTTTGGAGACAGGGTCTCTCTCTGTCACTCAGGCTGGAATGTAGTGACATGATCATGGCTCACTGCAGTCTCAACCACCCAAGCTCAAGTGATCCTTCCACTTCAGCCTCCTGAGTAGCTGGGACCACAGGTGTGCAC